CTGACCAGTAGCTTAGCTTGCTGCTGGGGTCCGGCCGATCGGGACTGAGCCAGACGGGCAGGACACACCCTGGAGCCCTCCTGCGGTCCCTCCCAGACCCTAATCGTGCACCAGTGGGGTCCCTCGGCCTGGCCTGCGCCCTCTCACAATCCAGGACCCCCTCAGGGGATGTCGAAGAGCCGGTTTCAGCCTGATCCCAGAGGCCAGGCCGAGGGACCCCACTGATGCATGAATTCGTGCACCGGGACTCTAGTTAAAAAATAATAATAAGCAAAGAAGTAATATCAATATGGACAATAAATTAAGTAAAGGAGCTTTGGACAAATAAAAAGGAAGTATATAATTTCACAGCACTTTTCAAGTGGAAGAGTCACATGAACAAAAATTCAAACTGCTAGATATTTTATACTTTCCTGAAAAGAACTTAGGTTCCAAGAGATTTGGCTTCTACTCACCCAGTCAATACAGAATATTAGGTCTGATCAAAAGAAACCTAAAGAGGCATTTTTAAAGCACAGTACTTCCCCTTATATCCTTTAGTTCTTGTGACTCTGTCAGATATATTTATAAGTCTTCTGGAAGTAGTTGACACATATTCTATGTAGTAATCTTGACTGTGCTAATCTCCAGCTGGACTAACTGAATCCTTAATATAACGTCACATGGCTACATCTGTCCTAGAGATGGGCAGAGAGCCCTAGTCCCAAACTCAATATTAAGGAAGTGTGTCCCCCCCCCCCCATCCTGTCTCAATTGTGAGGAAGCCTCAGCTTGGTTATCCAGAACCCTTCCAGGCAGAGCTCTTTGATCCTTTTAGCAGAGTCTCCAGAGTCCATCCCAGCCAAGGATAAATTGTCTTTGATACATTTCAGTTCAACAACTGAAAACCATTCACCATTCTAATCCACCTTCCTGCTTTAACCACTAATAGAGCACAGAATTTTAAAAACAGTCTAAATTCAAAGATATGCCAAATGGTACCCAAGTGAAATGAGATTACTGAAAAAGTATTAGAACTATTGAACCATCTTTCTAATGTTTACCATGCATTGCAAAAAAGAAACAAAGAAGGAGGTCTGGCCAATAGGAATCATTTGGGAGAAAACAAAAATCTGTTTCTAAAGCATGGAATCCCATCCAAGATTACCATGACTTTTAAGGACATCAACAATCAGGAGATTTGAAATTAAGAAACCCAAAGAACATTGGGGGTAAACACATAATACAATATACAGATCATGTATTATAGAACTACTAGAGGCCCCTCAGCCTGGCCTGCAGGGATCAGCTGAAACCAGCAGTACTACATCCCCTGAGGGATGTAGTAGTGCGCAAAGCGGCAGGCGGCCAGGGAGGAGCCATTGCTGCTGCTTGGTAAGCTTGCTGAGCAGCGCTTCCCCTGTGGGAGCTCACTGACCACCGGGGGCAGCTCCTGTGTTGCGCATCTGCCCCCTGGTGGTCAGTGTGTGTCATAGGTACCAGTCAATTGTCTGGTCATCTGGTTGTAATAGTCGCTTAGACTTTTATATATATAGATTTTTAGTTTATCTATGTTGTTGAAAATATTACAGATGTCCTCTTTGATTTTTTGTGGTGTTTTTTCCCATTGACCCCCTCTTCCCTGCACCTGCCCGGCCAGTCCCAGTCACTTAGGCTTTTATATATATAGATAACATCTAAAATCTATATAATTTCATTAACCAATGTCACCCCAATAAATTCAATAAAAATTAAGAAAAAGGAAACACAAAAGAGAAATGAGGGGGAAATGCTACTGAAAAACACAATGTGCTTTCAGGTGGTTTCCTACCCCCTACCATCGACCGAAGTGGGTGTCTGCACCACACTTGTCTGCTGTCCTGGCACTGGAGCTCTTGCACTGCTGATCAGAAGATCAAATTTGGTACTTCTGCAGGTATTGGAGCAAACCTTGTCATGTTGGTAAAAATCAATCTGTCCAGAGTCCATCATTTTCCTGCACAAAAGGAGACAAGAAGTACCACTTCAGCCTGCACTTTGGAAACTAGTGAGTCTCCTCTATAGGTTAGTGAAACCTAATAGTATTAAAAGTCATTAGGTTGCAAAGATTCTAATTAGGACTATAAAATTTTCATTGGTCCTGCCCACATTTACAAGTACTCCTCTTCCCTCCCTAGTCTACTCATGAGTACTTTTTCTTTTATATCCCACTATCACTAAGCTTTAGATATACACTCCTGACAATAGCTAAGTTTCCCCACAGGATCTCAATGAAACAAAACCCAAAGGGGAAAAAAGACTACCTCATATCCAAGCACAATTAAGGAATGCCACAACGGAATTAGAATTTTCTGATGAGATTCTGATGTGTTAGTATTCCTAGACCAGCAAGATCTGTTGTCTCTTTTGGAGACATAAAACTTCAGCATATTTCTTTCCTTAAAAAAAAAAATTGATAACAACTCTCCTATAAATACAAAACAAAGCTGATTATACTAAACCCCCACTATAAAATATCCTTAGAACTGAATTCACAAGACATTATGATAGTCCCTGAGCAAAACCATGCAGTATTTTCATTACAGTAAGTATGTTATATTGCTACTTGTCTTTCACTAAAGATTTTTAAGGCATTCTTGTTCCCTTTTACATTTGGGGAAAGTTGACATATGCTTGTTTTTCTGGGCAAATAAAATGGGCCAAGAACTACAAAAATGAAAGTTAAAGGTATTTCTATCTCCCCAATTTCATTTAACTACTGATTTCTGCATATAAATCATCTGTAATGATTTTTTTCTTTGTTTCTGACTAAAAAAGATAGTATGTGAAGAAAAAAAATTAACATTTTTTTGTGAAAAATATAAAGAAAACAATATTTTTAAAAAGGGTTTTTTAAAAAATATCCCACAACACAGAGATCACATCAACATTTTGGTATATTTTCTTCTACTAAATTTTACATATGTAGTAGTTAGAGTGTCATGTGTATGTGTTTTAACACAATTAAAATCACACTGTTTAAAAAAATCACAGTTTAATTGATTTTATATTTTCTCTTCATTCTTACACATAAGCATTTTTATGTAAAAACTCTTTAGAAAAAAAAACCTCTTTAGAAATATTTTAATGACTACATTGTATCCCACAATATATACTCATATATATTTAGATGAGCCATAATTTACTTTACATATACCTATATTAAAGCAGACTAGCCGAAACCGGTTTGGCTCGGTGGATAGAGCGTCGGCCTGCGGACTGAAAGGTCCAGGGTTCGATTCCAGTCAAGTGAATGTACCTGGGTTGCGGGCACATCCCCAGTGGGGGATGTGCAGGAGGCGGCTGATCGATGTCTCTCTCTCATTGATGTTTCTGACTCTCTATCTCTCTCCCTTCCTCTCTGTAAAAAATCAATAAAATATATTTTAAAATAAAATAAAATAAAATAAATAAAGCAGACTAATTTTCTTAATAAATAATGTTGTAATGAACATATTTATGCTTGAATCTCTAAGCCCTATGGATTTTTCTTAAGACAGAGTCTTTAAAAAGAATTAAAGACAAAGGGTAAGGTGTTGAAACATGAGGCTCTTGAAACATGTTCTGTGTGGAACTTTTAATTTTTAACCACATTTTAAAATTTTCTACCAAGAGGTGAGTACTCAAAGAATGAGCACTAATGTTAATCAACTAATGTTAATTTTCAGAGGGAAAAAGATTACAATAGGAAACTTGCTGCATAAAAGGGGGCATTGGGAGTAATAAGCATTCTGAATTTTATTTTGTGGTACAGTGATGGCACGGATTGCATTCACTGTGCATCACTGGTACTTATTAATCGCACCCCTCTACTTTTACCAATTATCCCAGGATTTGCCTTTCAGCCTAAACTTCTCAGTGGTTGTCACGCTTCCTCAGCACCAGGCTTAGCCTGCCTATGCTTGGTGATCTCAAGTCAGTTGAAAGGTAAGTTCTTAACTATTAGAGCTCACCTGAGCATGATTCCCCCCAGACGAATAGCTCTCTTCCAGTCTTTTAGGGTGGACTTGCCAGCCAGATGAACAAAATGTTTGGGGCTGATCAACTGATCATTGAACTAAAGTAAAAAGAAAAGTCCAAAATAATCCAATGTCAACTTAGGCAGGTCAGAGGAAAACTAAGAGATGATTCTACTTGTTATGCACAAAAAATACACGATGACATCTTAAGTCATAACCTTGTATCATTTAGCCTTCTGCCCTATTGTACTAGAGAAGATGTCCTTCTCTGAGCACAGTGCCCTATCCTGGTACAAAGCTACAGATGACATTGGGAGCATCAGAGATTAATATACTAATTAGTGTTTAAAATCAATTTATAGCCTTGGCTGGTGGTGTTCAGTGGTGAGAGCCTCAACTCATGTACCAAATGGTCCTGGGTTCGATTCCTGGTCAAGGGCACATAGATTGTGGGTTCACTCCCCACCCCGGATCTGGGTACCTGCAAGAGGCAACCAGTCGATGTGTCTCTCACATGGATGTTTCTCTCTCTCTCTCTCTCTCTCTCTCTCTCTCTCTCTCCTCCTCCCCCCCCCCCCCCCCCCCCCCCCCCCCCACCCCCCCCCCCCCCCCCCCCCCCCCCCCCCC